TTGTGTTAAGCTTGAACATTCCTCTGCAGAAACTATTCGGATGATTTAGAAGGCTTTCCAGGACGATGCAGTGAGTGCAGCGCAAATAAAAGTGTGACACAAACGCTTCAAAGATGGTCCATAATCTGTTGAAAGTGATCCATGTTCTGGAAGGCCTAGAACAAGCAGAACACCTGAGAATGTTCAACATGTACAGGCTGCAAGAACTAGAAGCTAATCTGAGGATTCCAAAAACTACTGTGTCCGAGATTTTGACACAGGATCTTGTTATGAAAGGTGTTGTGGCAAATGCATTCTGCAGCTTCTGCTACCAGAGCAGAGGGAACATTGTGCTATATTTGCTAATGACTTGCTTCAGACTGCTAACAATGAACCAGATTTCCTCCAGAAGGTCATGACTGGATATGAATCGTGGATCTATAGCAATGATCCAGAAACAAAGGCCCAGTCGTCCTAACGCAAGTTACCTGGTTCTCCATGCCCAAAGAAGGCACGGCAAAGTTGCAGCAAGATCATGACCAAGTTAACTGTGTTTTTTGATTAGGAAGGTGTTGTCCATCACAAGTATGCTCCTCTAGGCCAAACAATTAATAGGAGAACTACCTCAGTGTTCTTCCTTGGTTGAGAGATGCAGTGCAATGAAAATGGCTGCAGCTATGGGCAACTGGTGATTGGCAGCTTCATCACCACAGTGTGCCCGCCCGTGCATCACATCTTGTGCAGAGTTTTTTGGTGAAACATCAAATCCCACAGGTGATTCCACCCCCCTACAGCCCAGATTTGGTGCCCTGCGACTTCTGGCTTTTCCCAAAACTAAAATCACCTTTGAAAAGGAAGAGATTTCAGACCGTGGATGAGATTCAGGAAAATACGACAAGGCAGCTGATGGTGATTCCAATAAAGGATTTTGCAGCGTGTTTTGAACAGTGGAAGAGATGCTGGGAGAACTGTGTGAGATCCCAAGGTTCCTACTTTGAAGGAAACTGAGGTGTCAATGTCTTATGTACAGTGTTTCTTGTATCTTGTATCTTCTTCAATAAATGTCTCTATTTTTCATATTACATGGCTGGGTACTTTCTGGACAGACGTCAGATACTCAAAAGAAAGGAAAGCAGGTACTCACATACTTGTATGTGAGTGTTTATAGTAGTACTATGCACAATAGCCAAAAGGTAGAAATAACCTAAATGTCTTTCAACATATGAATGGATACATTGTGGTTTTAATATATACAGACAGTGAGGTTTGGATTATAATCCCAAAAGACACAATCCTGAAAGATCAAATCCCTGAAGTCTAAAAAATCTCTAATGTCTAAAATCCTGAAAATCATAGTCACAGAATAGTTAGATCATGTTAGGCAGAGCTATTACCTTGGTTTTGTCTTCATGTGGAAACTAAGTATGGTTTAAGGAGATGTGTATGGGTGCCAAGTTGATGTGGGGTGGATCTGTGGACCTAATTTTAGGTGTCAGTAATTTTTGATGTCAATTTGACTGGATTAAGGAATACCTAGAAACCTGGAAAAGTACTATTTTGAGTGTGTCTGTCAGGGTATTTCTGTGGAAATTAGTCTGTGAGTCTGGGTAAATGGCGAACATTTGCCCTCAATATTGGTAGGCACCATTCACTCTGTTGGGGGCCCGGAGAGAACAAATGCAGAAGGTGAATTGGTATGTCTCTCTCTGAGAAGTAGGACAGACTTTTCTTTTGCTGCCTCAGATGTCAGAAATTTGACTTCACGCAACTGCATTGTAATAACATTGACTGTGTGTAAGCATTGTGCATGTACGTAAAAATGTTGAAGCTTCCTCAATAAATGAGATTTACTTTTTGTACCTCTGCATTTGTGAAAGATAAAATTTCTCTAGATCTCAGCTCTTTGGGTGACTGCATATGCAGTGGTGACACATTGAGATTTTTGATCACGTTGAAAGACTTTAGATCGTTGGCCGTGGTATTTCAGATGACTGCAGTTATAAAGCTCGTTGCACACAATTATCAACTGTAGTGATGAATACGATTTGAATATGGTTATGAATACAGTTTATCTGCTCATAAGTGTTATACCCATGTGACTGTCATTAATATACCTGAGTGTTTATGCTTGCAAAAATATGGCCTATTTTGTTGTGTAAAGTGGCCTATGAAGTGTTCTGTCATGTTTTTATGTTTCACAAATAAATCCCCTTTTAAAAATGTAAATAAATATCTTTTAAAGAATTTTAAATTTTTTTAGAATTATATTTTTGGGATTTTAGACTTCACAGATTTTGATTTTTTGGGACTTCAAAATTTGGGATTATGGCATTCAGGATTGTGTCTTTTGGGATTATGATCACTCCTCATACAGTGGAATATTATTTGGCAATAAAAAGGAATTAAGTGCTACAACATAAGGTGAACCTAGAAAACATATTAATTGAAAGAAGCCAAACCCAAAAGGTCCACAGGTTGTATAGTTAAGTGGTTAAAATGGTGAATTTTATGTGAATTTTACCACAATCAAAAATAATAAACCTCAGAAGAAAAAAAATAAAGGAGGACAAAGAAAGACTTTTCCAAAAGACTTTAATGGAGACTGAAGAGACATGACAGCTAAATGCAGATTGTGGATTACAGTCTTGACTGGGGGAAAAAATGCTGTAAAGGAAATTTTTGGGAGAGTTGACTAAATTTGAAAATGGACTAGGTTAAGCAATAGTATGTGTATCAATATTAAATTCCCTGGTTTTATTAAATTTATACTTAATACATTAGGGAATATCTTTGTTCATAGGAAATCTGTGCTGAAGTATTTAAGTGTAAAAGGGGCATGATGTCTCCAATTACTTTCAAAGTGGTACACAGAAAAAATATAAAGTAAATGGCGTAATATGTAAACTGTTGGTGAATCTGGATAAAAAGTATATGGTAGTTTATTATACTAATCTTTCAACCTTTCTGTGAGTTTGAAGTTATATAAAAATCGGAAGTTACCAACAAAACTACATTTGTCTTTGTGTTATCTTCTGAGTGGCAGTGTGGTACAGGTGATTGTTAGAAAAATAATGTTAGGTGTCATTCTTTGGCACAGCTACCTCATTTCACTCTGTCCTTAGACTTTTGTTTGTCTCTCAATTTCTGGCTCCCACTATATTATTGGTTCTAATTGCTCATAGCAATTTCCCCATACAATTATAGCATAATTATTAAGTATTTGACTTTTATACACATCATTATTCTGGCTGGTAATGGTCTGCCTTTGGGGACCTAATCTCATTTTATGTATTTTTTCCTACTCCCATACTTTATTGTTGCAGTATCTTGGATAATGTAAAACTTATAACTATTTGTTTCTTTTTATTTTGAGAAATTTAAATACTAGCTTCCTGGTGAAAGGTTTTGCTGTTCTATTTCTGGTCCAATAGCTTTTTTTGTCTGAAATTTATATTTAATCTCTTTGTAGAAGATCAAATGTGGCATGAAATCTAACTTTAAGTAGAACATAGTGGACTATGTGCTCATTTTTGTTGTCAGCTCAAAGAAGTACTCTCTGAATGCCATTAAGCAGGACGATGGCTTTTGTCAGGCACAACTGAAGTCAGAAAAGCCCTTTCCTAAGTAGAAGCTGCCATCAAAACCTAATACTGCCTTGTTGGCATTCAACTGTGGATTTTTAGCTCTCTATCGTTACCATTTCTTAAAAACAAGCAAATATCCAGTGGAAGCTATTTTGAATGAGATTATTAAGAAAATCATGCAAACTGACTTCATGAAGATTCACATGGTACTTGTGTTTTCAGTTGGTTAACCAGTTTTCTTTCTTTTGTGGTGTGTAATGGGATCTCCACTAGACAGAGGTAACCAGTTGGATAGTTGTATACCTGGATGCTGGTGTAGTGGTGCTTGTTGGTTTAATTTTCATGATACTCCTCTCAAAGTTATGCCTGCAATGCTGCCTCTTACTTGTGCTTGCATGACATTGTTTACTTTGATTGTGCTTTGTTGATTTGAGTTCTTGAAACCTCCTATTTCTTTTATTTTTTTTATTTGTACTCAGAGTAATTCTTTAAATATTTTTAGTGGCCCAGAACTTATGGAAAGTAGTTTCAAGTCTAACTCCTTGGTGGATCCTTTTCAGTTTTTTGAAAATATCTTCAATGTTACCACTAAGTTTATGCTTTGGCTAGGAATTCAAAAAACAGGATGGATTTCCTGTAACACCCAGGAAGAGACCAATTGCCAGACAAACCATTACTAAAGCTGAGAATTAACTTTGTGAAATTTATAGATTAAAGAAAAAGAATATATATTTAGAGTAAAAGCTAAGTTTTAGGAGATAGTTTCATCAAATAGCTAAAATTTAGGATCCTCCACTAAGGTAACAGCAGATGTGATTTAAATTGTATAGAGAGCTTGGTGTGCATGTCTGATTTGGCATTATATGTCAGAGATACTGTTTATTCTACATTAGTTCTGTATTCCAGAACTAAGATTCTCAGGGTCATAAAGTAAAACTAAAATTAGTATTTCAGAAATTAGTTTTCTGAGCCTTTGTATGAGCCTTGGAAATAATTGCTCATCTCTTCATTTCTACACTGGCAGTATAGTTTTCTTGGACAATTAGAACTAATTTCCTCTTAGTTTTTTCAACTGTTTGTTTTGTTTTGGTTTGGTTTTTACTACCTTATATACCTCTATAGAAGAAGGTGGATTGTTTTTAAAACTAAGAAACAAACACAGTTTTAAGTGGGTACAATGGCAGGAGGTCATAAAATCGAAATTATTTTCTAATGTTCATATTAAACCAGTTTTGAAATGAAAAAATAATTTTTTTGTCTTGGAATTTTTATCATCTTGAAAACTGTAAAGGATCCATTGATTTTGAATGGCCGTCAGACAAATGCTTATAAATAGCATAAAACTGTCAGATAAATGGTGATTCATTTCTTACTATTTGTGTTCTAATTCAGTTATACCTTCTTTTTATCTTTTGGCGGGACCCATACATTTAACAGAAAATTTCCCAGGAACGAGAAAAATTTGCTGATGAAGGCAGTATATTTTATACCCTTGGAGAATGTGGACTCATATCCTTTTCAGACTACATTTTCCTTACAACTGTTCTTTCCAGTAAGTATAAACTTTTTCATTTATTTATTTGTAGGGAGCATACAGGACTATAAACAGTTTGATTGGAAGGAAGAACAAAACATGTTGGTATAGTTAATGAATTATAAATTACATAAAATTTCATTTGTTTTGAATTTCCTATAACTCATATATCGAACCACCTACAAAAGAGGGAGAAAAAGAAAAACTAAGGTATCAAGGTAAAGTTAAAAAAAAATCTCTGAATTTACATTTGCCTTAATTGTGTAAAGCTCTGTATTCTGTCAAGATGAGTCATTTATTGCCTATTCCTATAGCCTTCATTAACTTTACTACTTTTCCAGTAAAACACATTTGATCTATCATTTCCTCCACTAAAGAAGAAAATTGGCTCATTTTTCCTAACTGTGTTGAATATTCATTTTTTTAATCTTGGAGGCATGCTTCTAGAGACGCAAAACTCAATTTTGATTCCTTTAGAGCACTGATGAATTTCTGAGTTTTTAAAGTAAACAAGTTTGTTGATTAGTAAACACCACTAAGTGGTTTCTAATTTTATTTCCTTTTAGTGTGACTTTTTTTAACCATTCAGAAAAACTAAACAAAATGTATGTTCTTAGCTTTCTGTGTACAGTCTATTAAAATCTATCTAAAGTGAACCAAAGAGTTCAGATCTGTATGTTTGAAAGGAGTGATTCTCAATTTTTTTGTCTAGGACATATCAAACAAAAATGACCATCTCTTTTTCCCCTTCTCCAAGCCATCTTGGAGTTTTATCATCTATACTGATAAAACTGTCTTGTAAGGCAGTTTTTAGTAAATGGCACACACAGGTCCTGCCGTGACTGTGGCCATTTTCATTCTTATTCCTTCTGTGTAAGGATTGACAGGGAAACGAAGACTAATATGCTTTCCACAGCTGACTTTGTGACCAAAGTATCTGAATAAATTCATGTGGTAGGCTGGGCATGGTGGCTCACACCTATAATCCCAGCACTTTGGAAGGCCGAGGTGGGGGGATCACTTGAGCCCAGGAGTTCAAGAGCAGCCTGGGCAACATAGTGAGATCCCATCTTTACAAAAAATTAGAAAATTAGCTGGGTATGGTAGTGCACACCTGTAGTCCCAACTACTCCAGAGGCTGAGGCAGGAGGATCACTGGAGCCTAGGAGTTCGAGGTTATAATGAGCTATGATCACTCTACTGGACAACAGTGGGAGACTCTCTTAAAAAAAAAAAAAAAGTTCATGTGATAGACCAGTGCTCCAGCAATGAAAATATGCATTGATTTGTTATGAAAATCCAAAGTAGCAAACTAAAAAAAGCACATGTATAATCTTAAAGTATCTATTGTTAGAATTATTATTTTGGGTAGAGCATGGGTTTGAAGACAGACTGTAGTTCAAACCCTGGTCCCCCTACTTTTAGCTTGTGATTTGGGGCAAGTCAATGAATTTGTTCTTCTGTTTTGTCTGTAAAACTAAGATGGCATTAATTTCAAACCCAAATGATTTGTTTAAGGATTATGAAATCATGAACATAAAGTACCTAGTTCAGTGCCTCATATTTAGTAGGTATGAAAACTGTCTTGGTTTTTGTTCTTGATATCCTGTCACAACATGTTATTTCATGTCTGATTTTAAAAGATCCATAAGTCTTTTTTTAAAAGGCCAGTACAGTAAAAATATAGGCTAATCTAGGGAAAAAAGACCAGGATTTGTGGGGATTTTAAAATTTTTATTGTGACTTTGGACAGAATTTATATTAAATAGGCATGTAGCAGAAAGGATACTGCATTGAATGAAGAGACCAACTGGGAGAACTGCATTGATACATAAAATAGTTAAGTGTCAGAAGCACCACAGAACCGAACCCTCAGAATATCTGGCATGTTGTATAGCTCCCTTAACTCAACCATTTGAAAGAATGTTTTTAAAAAATCACATTGACCCTTGAATTCTAAAAACCCTCCATGTAGCTCTGCTCATCCCAGCACGTTTACTTCTTGATGCTCAGTGCTTCAAAGTTTGAACATGGTGAGTGATTTACAATAAAGTGCTTGCTATGTAAGTTACTTTCTATATTTGTCAGGAATGAAGAAAATAGAATAAGGATGTGATTTTAAGACTTTCTCTTTATCACTGGTTTTAAGCAGTTGATTACTATATGCCTTTGGGGTTTTTCAACCTTAGCACTGTTGATATTCTGAGCAGGATCATTCATTATTATGAGAGCTATCCTGTGCATTGTAGGATACGTAGCAGCATTCCTGACCTCTACCCACTAGATGCCGGTGGCACAGCCTATCCCATCCCCTAGTTATGACAAACGAAAACATCTCCAGCCATTGCTAAAGGTCTCCCAGGGGATGGGATGGGAGGAATCATCCCTGTTTGAGAACCACTTGTGTATTTTTGGCAGATTTTTTCTATTATGATGTGGTTTTCTTCATGATTCTTGCCTTGCGTTTCATTGAGCTTTTTTAGATCTGTGGGTTTATACTTTTCATCAAATTTGGAAAACTTTCAGCCATTATTTCTTGAGATACTTTTTCTGTGATCCCCCTTTCCTCTCCTTCGGGGACTCCACTGACATATATTTTCGTTATATCAACCCTATAATGTTAGTACTATTGTTATTTTCATTTTACAGATGATTCATTTTAAAGAATTTGCCCCTATTCCCACAGCTAGTAAGTAGACAATTCAGGATTTGAACCCAGGCCAACCCCAGCATCTGGACTTATATTGTTAATACTTGGCTTTACTGCTGTGGTCACATTTTCAGCAGTGATAAGCCATAACTTATTTTATTGCTTCTTTTTTCTCTAAGGCTGAGCTGCGGAAAGGCTGGTCATAAACTCTCCTGTAAATAATGTGCAGTTCAAGCATCCTTGCAGTCTGAATGTTGCACACTACATTGTCTACTTTATCTAACAAGCCATGGGGAAAAATATGCACAAAAATTAGACTAAGATCTGTTCTTTCCCACGTTCAAATTGCTGCTAGGACAACAGGAAATGAGGCACTCAGTGGATCTTCTTCCTTGTGCATAGCAAAGGATCAGTACAGTCGAAATACACTAAATGGTTCCAAAGTTATCCTGCAGGAGAGAATGTAATACCCTAAGGATCAAAAGTTTTGCCAGGGATTGGCTTGGGAACAGGGAAAGTACATTAACATATTCATTCATCTGTTACTGTGGTGGACAGCAGAAGCCACAGAAAACCAGCTACAACAGTGCAAAGGGCATCACCCAGACAATGCAGGACTGTTACAATTCCGATTAACTGTTTTCATCCAAAGTTAATGGACTCAAGGGTGTTCAAGAAATCACTATAATTCTGAAGAATATGAACACTGCTCTAATGGATTGAAACTGGAAACCTTAAAGCACCTAATAAACTCTACTATGTTGTTTAAAATAAAATTCAACAACTATATATAGTAAGTCATTCATTTTCTTTCCCAATTTATAATTACCTTTCCTAAAAATAAAATTAAGAAAGCTACTTTTCTAAAGAAAGCATGTTTTGAAATATAATTTCCCATATTAAATAGAGTTAATTTTTCTTATTTAAACTTTGTGGAAGTTTGATTCTTTCTAAATAAGAGTTTCTGGGACACACATCCAGAATAACAACCAATTTGGCAGAAATATCTTATGTTTACAATAAGCAATGGCATGAGTTTCTTGCTTTTCTCCATCTGTCTTTTGGATAATGGGCCTTCCTTGGCCAACCTAAACATTAAAACACCTTTTATCCCATTACACACACACACATACACACCACCTAAACTCCTTCCTGCTTTATTTTTTTCACTTTGGCATTTATCGCTATTAACATTCTGTATAATTTTTTTCTCTATTTTTTGAAACGAGAGTATCACTATGTTGCCCAGGCTGGTCTTAAACTCCTGGGCTCAAACGATCCTCCTGCCTCACCCTCCCAAGTAGAGGGAGTACAGGCACACGTCATCACACCCAGCTTCAATTTATTTTTTAATCTTATGTATTGTCCATTTTCCAACCTAGAATGTAAGCTACATGACTGATCACAAATTTATAATGATATTCACTAAAAACATGTCTATATTAAGCATTGTGGCAAGGTAACAAAACGAGAATATAAAATGTGGGGTTTTTTTCATATTATCAAAAAAAAAAGTTTAGTAAGCATAAGACTCTACTTTGCTGTCAATATCCTAAACTGAGAATAGTCCTTGTAGCTGTTGATGTCTTCAGTCTGTATCCAGTACCAGTGGAGTGAGGAAGATGTGCATTTTAATTAATTTATTTCCAAACAAGCTTGGTTTCTTATGATAATTCAGAATTTGTATATTTGTATCCCCCTTTATTCCTAATTCACAAATTCTATTGCTTTATATCTCATCTCTTTGATCAGCTTTGATGGATTAACTTGAAGAATTTCCAGCTATACCATGTGTATTGAATAGAATATTAAGTATTTACTAGATAATTACTCATTAATAAAATAAATTCACATTCTAGGCAAGATGAAGAGAATGATAATAATTATTATTAAATAATTTCCAAAGAGCCTCTGATCCTTATAGTAGGTTAATAAGAATTGAGTGAGAATACACAAGCATGGTTATTAATGGCTTAATTATCTGCACTAACCAACTGTAACATTAGGTTATGTTCTTAAATCTTATAATAGAAGTCAGAGATTTTTCTCCATAACTAGGTATGGAGAAGGGTTATCAGGATTTATCTGGAATACTACGTATTATTTATTGATTTGGATCATTCTTACTAATGCTAAGACTCACTAGGTAATGGTAATATAATCTGGATCTTGACCTTTGACAATTATGAAATATTTTTGTGAGTTCTTTGTCTTTATGTGTGTTCTAACTAAAATTATTAACCCTGTAAGCCAGTAACATGAAAACAATTCTAGATAGCGTGATGGGGAGGTGAAGAGGCAATAATAAAATATTTACAAAAGTTGATTATTTAGCATCTTCCTTACTGTTTACAGTTAATTTTTGGAA